CTCTGCTCGATCGAGCAGAGTAAACCTTTCCGGGAGAAAGTGTTTCTCTCCTGGGCGGCCGGGAGCCATATTAGACTCCCAGAGCGTCTGGGAGAGTAATGACAGATCAGCATCCCTGGTTACCAGGTAATCTGTCATTACACACTGAGAACACGGAGAGGCCGTTGTGATATCATAGCGGCCCCGCCAGGTTCTCAGTGTGTAATGACAGATGGCGTCCCTGGTAACCAGGGACACTGATCTCTTTGCAAGTGGTCGGAGCCAGCCGTGAGATGACAGCTGGGTCCGCCCAGCTGTCAGAAGCAGGCTGTCGGCCGGCCGTTCGGCCAGCTTCGGCTTTCACCTCGGCTCAGTCGAGCCGGGGCATATGCCTTCGGCTCGACTGAGCCGCCCGCCCAACTTCGGGAGCTGTACGGGCTATAGTGAATCGCCCATACAGCAGCCCTTCGCTTCTGCCGAACTGAAGGGCTCCTGAGGCCGAAGCTAGCCGAAGGATCAGCCATAGCTACGGCTAGATCCTTCGGCAGCTTAGTGAATAGACCCCATAATGTTTGGGGGGACCCCATAATGTAATTTTCACACCAAAAATGTGGATTATATCATGTTTGCAAAAATTGGCATTGATTGTGAGAGTACCTGTCTGCTATTCATGAAGATCTTCATTATTTTCTCTGAAAGTTGCAAGTAGACAATTGCAATATGTATCATATTATTCAGTCTTGCTTCTGTAGATATGCTTAGCTTAATAACCCCCACTTACTAAGGTTTTGTCAGACTTATATGTCAGCTCCATTGTTACTTGTATTTGAGTTTTGTATTTTTCTGTGGCAAAATGGATTACACACTGATATGTCTTTGGAAAACAAGCAAGATCCACCTGAATTTGCAGGTCTACAATCTAGAATAAAAATAACCTAGAGATCCAACTGTGAAATAGTGGCACCCATATTTTGGCCTTGAGGAGGAGGCAGCAATACAAACTACCACAAGGAAAGCTCACAGGGTTATTCACAAAGGGTGAAGAGTTTGGAGAAGGCAGGAGAAGTGAACAATCTAGGACAACATAGCAGAACTGGAAAGTGAGCTGAATTGGAGAATGTTTCCAAATCAGCTATGTTGTGCTAGATCAGGGGTGCCCATAAGGTTGATCGCGATCTACCTGTCGATTGCGTAGGTGCAGTCCGGGCACCTATGAGATCTATGTTTCTAAGAAATGTTCAAAGCTGCAAAAAAAATACATTTCAATTAAGCATAAATGGGCATTATATTTGTTATTATTTTCATCCAAAATCACTTCTTTCTATGTTTCTTACAGGAGGTCGGTAGCATCATTGGGAAGGTCAGTGCAGTATAAATTATTTTTGTGATTGTTCTGTACAATTCTGAGCTTTCTCAGCCCTTACCATTGCTTCTTCTTTATTCTGATTTTGTTTCCAAAACAGAAAGGTGAGACGGTTAAGAAGATGAGAGAGGAGGTAAGAATAAGAAATGTCAGTGCATCCTTCTCAATTTCTGTCAGAAGACAATGTTTACATTTCCTTGGAATATTTTATGCTGCGCTGGAAAGGTGTAAGAGTGTCACTCAGTGGCTGCAAATATTATTTCAGCTGTTAGCTGTAAAATGGGTTTTATCTAAGCAGCTGACAGCTCACTTGTAGGTTAGCAGTTACTGTATGTTATACAATTAGCAATGGTCCTGTTTTCATTCAATGGTGATAGTATACTGTATGTTGGTGCAGAAGATTTTGCGTTTTAGTACAGATGAATTAGAAGTTGAAAGAATTACTCTGCTAAAAATAGATAAATGCAACAAATCAATTAAATCTCCAGTGAAATATCAGAAGAATAAAAGCGCACACTATTTACGTAGTCCCCATAGCTCTGGCAATTTTACTAATGAAAAAGAGTTTCAAATAACAAATGTGGTCACTTTTCCTCACTGGCATATGATGTACTCCCACATAATAGCTCTGATTGGCCTAGCGCTGTCACAAGTATTGGTATTTCCTCCAGCTTCTAAAAGGAGCAGTGGGAAAACAAGGTAAAGTTAACAATATGTGCAAACATTGGAAGCTGGATAATTGTTTCCTGTTGGCTTAAAGAAAAGCTGTACTGAGAAACAATACCTGACAATACTTATTGCCTGGCTGTTTTTTTTTATCCAAAGGCTTTGATACTTTCTAAGGGGTCTATTCACAAAGCTGCTGTAGGCAGCTGAGTGAAAATCGACCCGAAGTGAAGTGAGCCGAACGCTGTTCGGCTATTCACTTCAGGCTTGTACGGCTGATTTCAGCCGTGCACTGACTAAAATCAGCCGTACACCGACTAAAATCAGCCGTACATCGGCTTGCTGCGGCTGGCTTCGGGTCGGCCGAACATGCTCAGCATGTTCG